CATTTATGAAACAAACAAACAACAGCGGGCCCAATACGCTACCCTGTGGTACCCCGCTTGTGACAGGTACGAATGATGATTTCGTGCCATTAATCACCACACACTGCTTGCAGTCATGTAGAAAGTCTTCTATCCACGCTAGGACATTTCTTCGAATTCCGTACCCTTCCAGTTTGATTTTCAGCCTCTCGAGGGGTACACTGTCGAAAGCCTTGGCAAAATCTATGTAAATATTGTCGATATTACCACCCAGTTCCAGAATATGGGTCCAAATATCCAATACCTTGAGCAATTATTTTAAGCAGGAGTGTCCCAGCATAAAACCACATTGGCAATCCTTTACAATGTTGTTTCGTAGATGTTCCATTGCGGCATCTCTGATAATACAGTACTCTCAAGTACTTTACATATTGTGTTAGTCAGGGTCACCGGTCTATAGTTGTTCATGGAGTGACGATCGCCCTTCTTGAAAATAGGACTCACATAAGCCACTTTCCATTCACTGGGGACCTTTTGTTCATCCAGTCATTTACAAAACAGGATCTTCAGGGGCTCGGCAAGCTCGTTGCACAACTCTTGGCACTCTAGGATGCACCATGTCAGGGCCGGGACTCTTATGGACCTTTAGCTTTGATAGTTTATTTCTCATACCCTCTTCTGTGAACACAATGTGGGTCAGTGCTGTGTCGAACCGTCTGTCCTCAAAACGCAGGAAGTTAGGGGAGAGTATCCACTACAAGCCATTAGTAATAATGATAACTGAAAACACAACCATATGAAATGTTGCCCCACAAGTACAGTATATACCATGTAAACGAGTCACTTGTGCATGTATATGGGAGCGAAGTAACACTACAACATCTATATATATAAATCATTTACGTGAGACTGTATTGATTGATATCCAGCATGTCATATGGTATATAGTACATAATGAATTGAAATAGTCTAATAACATTAACTAGGTAAGTATTAATAATAAATTAAAAGTCTCATACTGAAGGCAATACTGTATAGAGGCATAGGCAAGGAATAGGGTCACGAGCTTTACTCCTTCCCCAGGCAGTTGGTATAAGTCTTCCTCATAAAGGCTGTTTGGTAACTCACGGTACGCACCATCTTTTACATTTTATATCCGTATTCCAAAGTGAATAGATATTTAAACTTTGATGTATATTAATATTGATCGGATTATAAAAAAAAGTATTACCTCTTATTATATAGCGAATTTTTTTATAATTTATTCTACAAAATTAAAAAATTAAATCGTTGCAGCTGTATTATCATCTTGTGTTCATAACCCGAGTTTAGAAGAAGGAAATTGGCGCCACTGATAACTGAGAGACTTAGTGAAGGAAACATTAACTTATATTCTCCTGCACACGGTGAGTAATGGACAGTAAAGTAAACTATAATGGTTAAAGTACTGACTATTGACTCACGTAATGGTAGATACATGTTGTTAATCAATACAATTGTTAGAAGTTTACAATATTGGTTTTGAATGTTTAAAAGTTTGTATTCAGTACAGTACAGGTATACTATATGCTGGGTTAGGGTCATCTCGTACCCAGGACAACTCATACCTAAAATAACTCGTATTCAATAAAGTTAACTCGTATTCAATAAAGTTAACTCGTACTCACGCCAATTCATACCCAAAATAACTCGTATTCAATAAAGTTAACTCGTACTCACGCCAATTCATACCCAAAATAACTCGTATTCAATAAAGTTAACTCGTACTCACGCCAACTCATACCTAAGATCACTTGTACCCAACTTGCTCTTTGATTTTTTTGAGTTGGAAGTACAGGGTTTATGTTGTACTGCAGAATAGAAAGAGTAACCAGAATTAGACAACGATAGCGGCATGTTGATGACACTTCTCCTGAGTCTATATTATGTGGGCTATGGGCTAGAATGGTTCTATATAAAAGTATACACAATCGGTTCAGAGTAGTGATAGAATGCTGCCAACTGGAGGCAAAGGTGTAGAAGAGCGGTCCGACTAATTACCCAAATGTAGCCAAATATAGCCGGAATGAAGTCAAATAATGGTCCTAGATGAATAAATCGGACTGCCAATCACTTCTCGACTAGTATTTGGTGTCAGAAAGTCACAAAAAATTGGAAAACTTACTTTAATCTGAGTTTATAGATCGCGTGCATGTACCGACGGAGCGAGGAATTACCCATATGCCAAATATAGCCGCAATGAAGTCAAATGATGGTCGTACAAGCGTAATTCAGGCTGTGAATCACTTCTCGACTATTATTTGGTGTCATAAAGTAAAAAAAAATTGGTAAACTTAATTTAATCTGAGTTGTGTTAGGTTAGGTTAGGTTAGGTTAGGTTAGGTTAGGTTAGGTTAGGTTAGGTTAGGTTAGGTTAGGTTAGGTTAGGTTAGGTTAGGTACATGCACTTGATCTATTAACTCGGAATAAATTAAGTTTACCAATTTTTTGTGACTTCGTGACACCAAATACTAGTCGAGGTTAGGTTAGGTTAGGTTAAGTACATGCACGCGATCTATTAACTCAGATTAAAGTAAGTTTTCCAATTTTTTGTGACTTTCTGACACCAAATACTAGTCGAGAAGTGATTCACAGCCCGAATTAGGCTGAAATTGGTTGAAATTTGTTCTACACACTAATATCATGATAATAAACACAAAAATGGAGATGACACTGAATAGAACCTAATAGAACCTTACCTAACATACCCATAGGTTGGGGGGGAAGCGGCGAGCCATGGTGTTGAGGAAGTGGTAATTGATTGTTGTATGAAGACAAACCCAGTTATATTTCACGGTATTGCTGTGAAAAGTACTTCCTCATGAACACATTCATAATTAAGAGTATAACATTGGTTTTAATCATGACATTTTCCAGCCAAGTTCCCTGAAGCAAACTGGAACTAACCACAACGCTTCAGCTTCTTGTATTTCTTATGCAGTGGATATTTTGCCATGACCAGCTAAGTTCCTACTAATGCTATTTTACCATGAGTGCGCTCTGACTAAGTACTTTCTATTTAATATGACAGGGGGTCCATCCCCTGGCTAGGAAGTTAGGTAAGGTTAGGTAGGTAGGTTTCTGTGGTTGGTTAGGTCAGGTTCTAGTAAATGTCGCCTGTTTTATAATAACATCTGTAGAAAAAAAATCAAACATATTTTAGTTAAATATGTTTATAGTTACACAATGATCGACTCACGGTGAAATAAATGCCAAATGCCGTCAGCGTCATGGTCACATATTGTTTTCGCGTTGTTTGCCAGAAATGGATGATTAGCCAATCAGAGCGCATTCACAGTAAAATAGTGTTAGTAGAGACTTAGCCATTCATGGCAAAATATTCACTTTTTTCTATTACACTGGATTTTGCGTAGCTTTTGCCAGGTTGATATTCCAATAACACAGTGTAACTATAAAACACCAAAATACACTAGAAGATTAATATATCATAACAGTTGGAGAAATGCGATATAAGCGAATTTTTCTGTGCTGTATTGTCATATTTGTGAATTACACCTCCCCAAAAAAAAAATCAATATAGTATTAAGGTAAAGATTTGTTTTAACGTCCCCTTCGTTTTTTACAGGGAAATATTTTTTTATGGTGTATTTTGGTGTGCTTTGTTGAAATTTGATCTTCATGTTCTTTGGGAAATCCCCATTTATGAGAAAATGTCAGACATATTGAACTAACCAACCAAAGAAACTTGCCTAACTTTCAGGCCTGAGGGCTCTGCCCCCTGGCCCCCCTGCCATATTAAACAAAAAGTACAGTACAGGGTACTTATTTTGATATATGGTACCAATGGAAGCAACTTTGTTGAAGCGTCATGGTGTAGTTTTATGTTTTTTTAATGGACGTGAGAGTACACTTGAACTGAGCTGTTTGGTTGTAAACAAACAGACGACATGAGGCAATATGCAGATTTTTCGGAGGAGTATTTACGGTTAATAATTCAACTTTAGACATTACCTCCAAAGTAATGACTATTCAAAATTGTTGAAAGGCAAAGTAATCTATATCTGAAGTCCAAATAGCAAAATATTAATTCTTTCTATAGAAACTGGTTACCGAGAGTTGTAGTTTTTACAGAGTAAATATTTTATACTGGTAGTTCTGCTATAACGCGATAATTGTGTTCTTGTAAAATATCGTGTTGTAGAAAATCGCGTAATAAAAATAACAGGGCTTATGGAGAAAATAGGGTTAGGTACAGATTACTCGAAATCGAAAAAATTTAGTAGTTAGCCTAACACAAAGGATAGCACAGTCTAAATAAATGTTACATTCATATCTAATAATGAAATCATACAGTAAATGTAACACTTTACCTTGAAAAAATATGAATGTAACTTGATGGGGGAGAAGGGTGATTTTGAGGTTGATAACATCGAGCTTCTCTTCAAGTGTTATATCCTTTCTTTTACGATCATCACCGGGAATTCTATCACCAGAACGCTTCTTGGAGATATTCTTCTTTACCATATTCACAGTTAATACCACAAAATTGGAGGAATAGTAAGCAAAAATCGCGTTATAGCAAACAAGCGTTCGCGTTATACAAATATCGTTCCTAATTCATAAATCGCGTTAGAGCAAATTCGCTTTATCAAAACACGCGTTATAGCAGAACTCACTGTATGTATTTTTGGTAAAAATTCTTTATCCCAATTTTGCCAATTGGTATGAGACTATTTTGCTAGTGTATTTTGGTGCTTTTTAAGTGACCTAACCTAACCTATAAACGAATCCTAGTGATAATGGGATGAAGATGAATACAGTAGTATTTACCTTTTTTGTTAAAAGAGAAAATCTTTCCATCAAAATCATATTCATTTTATTATATTTGCAGTTGGATACCAGATTAATATACGTAGTCTTTTTCTCTTCTGTTTTTAATTTCTTTTTTTTTTCACCCCCCCAGGACCCGTTATGGGCCCGTATAGAAATCTTTCTCATGTACTGCATTCTTTGTTTTGTAGATGTCTGCACAGAGATCCCAGGATGAAGATGACCCTGATGAAATCAGTGCAGGACCAAGTCGCAAGAGACACAAAAGTGCCCATGTGTACAGCAATAACATTAGCTCTAGTTTGCAGCTGTCACAACAAGAGGTAGTTATTTGCTGCAAAAATCTCATAATTGTGAATAAAGTACAGGTACTTATTTTGGTATTTATTCGGATCTAGACTGTCCGCTGTTTTTCATTGAAAATGGGTTTTAAATACCCAATTTTCACTGATTTTATTAGAGGATACTGTATTATGCTGGGAAAAAATATAAAAATTGCTGAAATCATGTGCTAACCTGACCAAACAAAATCAAACCTAACCTTTATCTTAACTCGCCTATATATATAGAAAACTAAGCATTTCCACAAGAAAATTAATAGAAATGAAAGCAGTCAGCATACAAAATTGTCTAAAACACCTCATAATTACTGAACCGCTGACAGTCACGAGTCGTATATTACCTTTTTTTTTTTTTTTTATACAGTAAGCCCTTTATTTACATTACTCCTATTCATTATGTTTTGCTATAATGTCACTGGTGAATCAAGGAACATGAATTGATATTAAATGCGGTAACTCACTACAAACTTCATATTTAAAATAGAAATGTGACAGATTTAAAGAGAACAATGTGCACAAACATTCTCCCAAATACCCTGGCATTAGACAATATAAATTCCTTCTTGGTTTAGACCCAATAGTGCTGAGCATTTCTTGTGAGGTTTCATCTGGTAAGTCTGAGTGCAATACAATACTGTAATGTTGATACGGATGGGTTCCATTCCTGGAGGCTATCCATAGAACCATAGGAAAGAAAGTTAAGTACACAAATTCAATTAAGGTAATTCCATTTACCTTAAATCCTGGTGCCAATTTGCTCATCCACAGTGTAAGTTTTCCATCTCGCAAATTACGTGTGGTTGCTGCCTCATTATCTCAGTAGATTTTCTGTTCCAGATTTATTATACTTTATATTTATGAGCAGGTCCTGTACTCTTACTGTCACCTGGGTGCTATTCAGTCATTTTACAACACAATTAACCCTCTCGTGCACGAAATAAGTTTTGAGTTTTCCAATTCTAAGATCACATCTCTGAGGCCCCAGAGCAGGTGAGACAGTGCATGGTGAATATTTTTTGCTTTATCACCCCCTCCCCCCCAAAAAAAATCAAATAAATAAAAGAAAAAATTCTTGGCATAAACCAGGGGTGTCAAACTCATGTCCCTCCCACGGGCCAAATGTGGCCCTTGGGATGGTCAGATGTGGCCCGCGGGATGACGGTAAAATTTATCAGCCCGTGAAATTATGATAGAAATAGATATGAAGGAAAAAATGCAGATATGAATGAGCCAGTAAATTCCAAAATGATCTTTATATCATTGTGGCAATATTTGAATTTACATTGTTAATGCTAGTAATAACACGACTGAAAAGGGAAAATGCTTATAAATAATGCATAGAACAGTACTGTATACAGTATGCCTTTTGCTACACCACAGTATCACACAAAAGAAGCGGGGGAGAAATTCGACCTGCTGTTGCTCTTGCGCCACCAAATCAGCTCGTGTCTCAGAACGAGTTTTTCTAACCTTCAAGTCCTTAGGCTCGGCTATTTATGGGCCGATTTTAATAAACAAAAACTAACTACTGCAGTAGAATAACATATTGTGCATGGCTGAACATATAGATTTTCTTTATATTTGGCTTAGTTTATTATTTGCTGGCTTATTTTCATAAATATTTTGAGGAAAAATGGTAAGTTAGGAAAAAATAATCATGCACCCAAAACAAAAGTGATAATCAGAAATATTTGTACGTCACGTTCAAGAGGAGTAAATTACATATACTCTACATGAATTTCAACGTAATCTAGCGAGATGTTATGGGGAAGTAGGATTTTGAAAATTGATAAGAATATAAGGGAATAATCAGGTATCAGGCAGAACTGATTCAGGGGTATAGCAGCAATGTATCTGGTGTCCTTAATTGCTGACAGGAAATTGATATTGATTGATCAATTTTTAACGAATTTCGTGCTTCAGCCGGATGCTCCCCAAAGTGCAATTGACGAAAAAAAATTGGAGATGATGTGTAGGGGATCTAACAATATGACTGAAAATAAAATAGCCCCTTACAGGACACTTCACCCAGCTGCCTTACGCTTACTCTGCAGGTCTCTTACGCACTGTGCTGCACTATTTGATGTAAGTAACAACGGATACTCGTCCAAAACCCGAAAATGTACTTAGGGGAGAGAACGTATCCATAAATTTGGAAATCCATAACGTGAAGAGTGTCTGTATATGTGTTGCATCAAATATTGGATGTTACAGAGGATCATACAGTAATTTATTTTTTCTGTATTGTATTTCTTAGACCAGAAAATTCCATAAGAGCAAAAATTTTATTCCTTAAATATAAATGTTTCCTTGTTTGTAACTTTTGAAATGCAAAATTCTTGAAATCAGATATCCATAATTCAAGGTCTCTGTACCCCACACAGACACAGTGGTAGTGTAAAACTTGAGGGGTGGTGGTGTTACACTGTACAGCTGATTCCATTTTATCACTGCAGTAGGAAGTGTATAGTTTGCTTGGCACTCAATTCAAAGTTTAATGTCACAACTTTATAACTTCGTCGAGTAAATGAGAAACTTTGTGACTTATAGTGTTCCCAAACTGACTGAGGCCATTAAAGCAAAACAACACTAATTGGGGTAATGTTATATGGGACCAACCTGTATACAGCACATAAGTGTTATGATAACATCAAATTATTTCTAGTTGTTATCTAAACAAAGATACTGTACTGTATTGTGAATGTCAGAGTTTATTAAATTTAACATGATGCTTTGTTCCCATGACTATAAAGAACCCAGGAATTTTGGAAGACAAAGACTATACTGTACTGTATAATAAGGGAATACAGAGGCAGCCACTCCTACTATGTTTCATGTAGAGATTGAGTTCGTAAATTTTATAGCAAGTTTTTTCTTAAATAAAATATATATATTTTTTTAATATGAACCAATTCTTACAGTCACAAGTTAAACATTTTTGAGTAAAAATAAAAATATGGATAGGGCATTTAATTTTTTACAGTTGCAATAGATTTTGTAGATGCAAACCTGGTAAGACTAAACACTGCTGGGAAAACATTTATACTCAGCAAAGGGAAAAATTGGTTGAAAATATTTTTTATTCTTGAATATAGACCTGCTTATTGATTTTCAGCAGAGTGCATCCAGTGGGATCTTAGAGTATGTGACGGTAAAAAATTTCATGTGTCTCGACAATATGATGTGTGCCTTCTCACCACAAATCAACTTGGTGCAGGTGAGTTTGATACCAGATCTTATAAAGGTTAGTGTCTACTTACCGTATAGTGAAGTCAAAGCATTTTGTTATTTACTGCTTATCTTAATTTCTGTTTATGCTATAGGAAGATGTAGGTTCGGTGGGAAGATTAGACAGATCCATAATGGGGAACCAGTATACTGTATACCAGTATATTTTGATATATTTAATAGTATTTTAAGCATACACTCTCTGTTATACTTTTAAAGTTTAATATGATAAGGAATTTTTCTGCTATAGTATTTGGTTAAATTCTGTTTTACAGGGAAGAAATGGAAGTGGTAAGAGTGCAATTTTAACAGCAATAATAGTTGGGTTAGGTGGTAGCAGCCGAACAACAAATCGAGGAAACAATCTTAAAGGTATGTACAGTACGGTATCTCTTTCAGTAATTGCTAATTTTGCTACATCGTAAGTGTGGTTAGTATGTAAATATTAGCATTTACAAAAGGAATGTTCATTGGGATATTTCAAATGTATTTATTTAGTACAGGGTTGTAAGGTAGTATGTGTGCATGTATAATACCCCTTTTACAACATTACTTACCCCATCTTGTTTTTAAATCTTGTTTTACAAGTAGAGGTACACATGGAGATATTTCCTGACAGTGTGACATACAGTACAGTACTGAAGCTGGACCTACCAAGTACAATATAGTCTCGGTTTACGCGGTCAATTGAACCCGTGGAGGTCCGTGTAAAACGAGAAACGCGTAAACGAAATAACAGAACATATGGGATTAATTGAAATAGAGACTGGGCCGACCCCCAGACTACCCTTTATTCGACACAATACGTACCTTGTAGTAAAAATAACATCTCAATTTTATGATGGTATGCACACACAATTAATATTTAAGAGAAATATCAATAATATTAGGTTTTTTAACACTTACGTTAGTAGAAGAGATGGCTGGGCACACGGGGATGGGGGGTTGGTTCCGAGGCAGTGGGCAGATTATTGGCCCTCACCTGTATCACTTGTATCACTATCCACCACAGAGGCTTGCAGGGCCTCTTTGTCAAACCCCTCAAAGTCCATATCCTCACTATTACTATCACTGACTTGGGCTGGCTGTGGTAGGTGGCGGGTGAAGAACTCGGTAATATTTTGTTGACTGGGCGACCTTGTGCGCACCCTACCCGCGCTGCTTCCCGCGTAAATGATGGAATGTACTGCGTAACTATTAATTGCCGGTCTGGCCAGGTGCCGCGTAAATGACCATCCGCGTAAAGGAAATCCGCGTAAATCGAGACTATACTGTACAATACACGACTGAATATAGGAATCCACCCATGGCATCTGTTGTGTGGGCTTGGCGTCACATCTCACAGACAAGTTGAGGTCGGATAGGTGACTGAGAATTTGAATATTTTTAGAACTGGACAATCATGTACTTCAATCATACAGGATGGCTGGACAGGAGCTGACTTTTAGCATTGATGCTGCCACCCCCTTGGTAGGAAGCTGGTCCACCAAAGGGTTGTTCTTCCATTGATAAAACTATTGATAGGTTACTCAGAAGGAATCCAGTTCTTTATTTTGGTCAGGAAGCAAACCTGTTTTCATTTATTTGTGAGGCAAATGCTCCACCAACTGAGATAAGAAACCATTTGAATATTAATGTTTTTTTTTCACAGAATTAGTGAAGTATGGAAAACAATCTGCTACAATTGAGATTGCATTAAAAAACAGTGGGAGAGATGCCTACAAGCTTGACCTGTATGGTGACATGATTATTGTGGAGCGTAAGATACAAGCTAATGGTGGAGGAGGAAGATACAAGTTAAAAGCAAAAGATGGTAACGTGTCTTCATTACATAAGTTGTATAATTATTCAGTACAGTACAGTACTGTATGTATATGCAAAGTTTTGTACTATTTGAACTTATTTGTTTAATCTCTATTAGATGGAAGTGCATTTAATTTTTAATCATTATTATTAGGGTATTTAATAGCAAGAAATTTTTAGATAATTACTAAAATCTGGAAATTCAATTTAATATTTTTTTGCTGTAATACAAATTTGCTATTCTAAATACAGCAGTATCTTGCTTATTTAAGTTTAAAAATTCCTACCTTGTTTATTAAATAAACCAGTTATTATAAAGTGGAGTGTTGATAATTTGCCGTTTAGCTACCAGTCCAGAAGACATCGTAAATTATCAAATTGCGAATTTTAGTTAAATTGATTTAAATGGAAATAATGAGTTAGGTTGCAAAGGCCAAAATAAATTTTTTTTTCAAAACTGCCTTAATAAATACTAAATATCATACTGTATATAACAAAAAATACAGTAACATATAGATATTGTATAAAAAGTAGTTCTATAGTACAGAAACAACTCCTTCCCTTCTCATAATCATCCTCTGGATGACACCATTGCATTAACATGGTGCTGGCTGGCTGGTCGGTCAGCTGTTTGCTTAGGATGTAATGAAACCAACAACTTATCTATGGGTGAATATGGGATATATATATATATATATATACTGTACTGTATATATAAAGTTTATATGTATAATTATTATTACAGGTTGTACCTCTCTAGTCCGGCATTCTGTGGTCCGGAAACTCCCGTGGTCCGGAACGATTTTAGTTTGTCCAATAGGTAGATAGGCAGCTTTTTTTTTTTTTCCTTATCTGAATTATTATTATTATTACAGGAGTATTAAATTTTTTCCCCTCAGGCTCAATGTGGGTCAGTGACCTTTGCCGGTGGGCTAATCATAAAAAAAAAGCATGGGGAAATTGGGTTTGTTTACATCCGGCAGTTTGGCTGCTCTCTCTCTCTCTCTCTCTCTCTCTCTCTCTCTCTCTCTCTCCTCTCTCTCTCTCTCTCTCTCTCTCTCTCTCTCTCTCCTCTCTCTCTCTCTCTCTCTCTCTCTCTCTCTCTCTCTCTCTCTCTCTCTCTCTCTCTCTCTCTCTCTCTCTCTCTCTCTCTCTCTCTCTCTCTCTCTCTCTCTCTCTCTCTCTCTCTCTCTCTCTCTCTCTCTCTCTCTCTCTCTCTCTCTCTCTCTCTCTCTCTCTCTCTCTCTCTCTTCTCTCTCTCTCTCTCTCTCTCTCTCTCTCTCTCTCTCTCTCTCTCTCTCTCTCTCTCTCTCTCTCTCTCTCTCTCTCTCTCTCTCTCTCTCTCTCTCTCTCTCTCTCTCTCTCTCTCTCTCTCTCTCTCTCTCTCTCTCTCTCTCTCTCTCTCTCTCTCTCTCTCTCTCTCTCTCTCTCTCTCTCTCTCTCTCTCTCTCTCTCTCTCTCTCTCTCTCTCTCTCTTCCTCTCTCTCTCTCTCTCTCTCTCTCTCTCTCTCTCTCTCTCCTCTCTCTCTCTCTCTCTCTCTCTCTCTCTCTCTCTCTCTCTCTCTCTCTCTCTCTCTCTCTCTCTCTCTCTCTCTCTCTCTCTCTCTCTCTCTCTCTCTCTCTCTCTCTCTCTCTCTCTCTCTCTCTCTCTCTCTCTCTCTCTCTCTCTCTCTCTCTCTCTCTCTCTCTCTCTCTCTCTCTCTCTCTCTCTCTCTCTCTCTCTCTCTCTCTCTCTCTCTCTCTCTCTCTCTCTCTCTCTCTCTCTCTCTCTCTCTCCTCTCTCTCTCTCTCTCTCTCTCTCTCTCTCTCTCTCTCTCTCTCTCTCTCTCTCTCTCTCTCTCTCTCTCTCTCTCTCTCTCTCTCTCTCTCTCTCTCTCTCTCTCTCTCTCTCTCTCTCTCTCTCTCTCTCTCTCTCTCTCTCTCTCTCTCTCTCTCTCTCTCTCTCTCTCTCTCTCTCTCTCTCTCTCTCTCTCTCTCTCTCTCTCTCTCTCTCTCTCTCTCTCTCTCTCTCTCTCTCTCTCTCTCTCTCTCTCTCTCTCTCTCTCTCTCTCTCTCTCTCTCTCTCTCTCTCTCTCTCTCTCTCTCTCTCTCTCTCTCTCTCTCTCTCTCCTCCTCTCTCTCTCTCTCTCTCTCTCTCTCTCTCTCTCTCTCTCTCTCCTCTCTCTCTCTCTCTCTCTCCTCTCTCTCTCTCTCTCTCTCTCTCTCTCTCTCTCTCTCTCTCTCTCTCTCTCTCTCTCTCTCTCTCTCTCTCTCTCTCTCTCTCTCTCTCTCTCTCTCTCTCTCTCTCTCTTTCCTCTCTCTCTCTCTCTCTCTCTCTCTCTCTCTCTCTCTCTCTCTCTCTCTCCTCTTTTCTTAGAGTACAACATTTAACCCTTCAATATATGAGCAGTAAATAAGTGTTGCTTTCATATTCTTATGTAGAAGTAATGGCGATATGTTTTCACATTATTAGCACTTACATATGAGCAGTGTCACTTTTTTTCATTAATGGTTAGCTACTTATATTGTTCATTTATTAACATTAAATAACATTACAGGTACTTCAAGCAACCATATTCATTTTTTTTACATTAATTTTACTACAGCTAAGCTCAGGGTCTTATTTTCTTCAGTTTATATGTAGAACCAATCAGTCACTGGTTTAAGTAACTTTAACATAAACAATGCGACGCCCGTCTCGTCTCCTCTAATATTCACGTATTAATAAATTGTATTGTTAATTTTTTCTGCATTTGTTAAATAAAACAAATTCAAACATTAATTAAAATATATAGAACAGTAAATAAGTGTTGCTTTCATATTCTTATGTAAGTAATGACAATATGTTTTTCATGTAATGTATGCGCACTTACATATCTCGATCTCTCTTTTTTCTTTACCATTAGTTAGCTAATTCTATTTGTTTTCCATTTGTTAACATTAAATAACATTACTTAAAACAACATATTAATTTTTACTACAGCTACAACCAAGGTCTTTATTTTTTCAGTTTTATATGTAGAACCAGTCGGTCACTGGTTTTTGTAATCAGGGCTGTGGGTGAGAACAAAACCTTGAACTCGACTCCTCAAATTTTTATACTTCGACTCCGACTCCTTGGCCTATTTTCTTCTTTCTACCATCCTAATTGTAATTTGTATGTTGCTTAACCTGCATAGGTAAAAGTAAACGATATGGCTATACTGCTTTATTAATGATCTCGATATTTAGGACTACAAAAGATGATAGGCTTGAGCTTTCAAAGTTTCAATCAAAAAAATAAATTTATAAGATTCAAGATATTAACTAAAACACCATTTACATGTACAGTATATTCTAAAAGTTCGATCTCAGCATATGAATTTTGTTTAGCTCCATAATCTGATGTGGATCTAAATGATGATCCTACAATTCTTTTAAATAAAGTTATATATTTGCATTAAAGAAATGAGTGCCTTATTAAGGAAAATTGGATAAACCTTGGCAATACGTAACTTC